CTAGTAGAGGAAAGTAGCTGTACAGCGCATACTTGAGGAGTCTGAACGCGGCATACCCTCCTCGAAGGCAGATGTATGAGATATGGCTGATAAACTGCTGAGAGAGCGTGGTGGGAAGGCTGTTGGCAAGAAACTGGGTTGGCAGGTTCGTTTAGCGTGCACCCGAGCTGCGAACGCGATGGAGTCGTCCGTATGATCGCCAGCGAGTTGCCAGCGAGGACCCGGCGATCATCTTACACTGATTCACGCTGGTTCAGAACATGCAGGCGAACTTTCTATCACCTCGTCCATGTTCCGCCACTCGCTTGCATAACCCTGCGAAGCTTCGTCCTCGCTTCCTCTCCGCACAGTCTCCTGTCGCGCTTGGCATGTGCATTGCTTTAATTAGCTTAAGCGCAGCGTGCACAAACTATACGCCCGATTGCGCAAGTGAATGTCGATTAGGCATTCCTAATGATGTGACGCGGGGAGTACGGGGTGGCTTGAAACCAGTATTTGTGGCTGTGGTCTAGACTTTTTTGATGTGGAACTGACAGCATGCGGATCCAAGCTCAAACCAGGGGCCCACTAACGGCAAGTTCAACTATATGTAGTGCTGCTTTCACAATAGTTGACCACTTCGGTTCAATTGTCCGTTTCGCAAGCGTCCAATGTGATGGACCTGAGAGAATATTTTAGCAGCTGTAGTCGAGTACACAGCACAGATGGGGTTAGATGCGTACGACAACTACTCCTGGAGGATAATAGTTGTGACAACATTGTGTTTGGTAGTGTCTATGGTAATTGTGGGTCTACGATTCTACGTTCGATGGGTGATAATTAGAAATTTGGGGCATGACGATTGGTTTTTGGCTGCAGCTCTGGTACGACGCTCTACTCTACCCCTTCACTAACACCGTCTACTAACATGTTTAGGTCTTATATATTGGAGTGGCTACTATAACTGCAGTCTGTAAGTATGAATTACACTGTCCACAGTCAACATGGATCTAACCAGGAATGAAGGCACAAAGTTTGGACTCGGCCGCCATATCTACACCCTCTCTGTCCAGAAGAGATCCGTGTTTCTCAAGGTTTGTCAACCTCCAATGCAAGCGCCCGTCACTAACATACCGGCACCACGTAGCTTATCTGGATTGCGTCCATTGGATACGGAGCTGTCATCGTGCTTATAAAAATAACCTTCCTCTTTCAATACCGCCGTGTGTTTCCACTCCGCGACTTCCAGCGTGTGTGCGACCTGTTTCTTGTACTCATCGTCATATGGGCTGTGGGTGGGACGATGGGGGCTATCCTCAACTGCCGGCCTCCCAAACGGAACTGGGATCCTTTACTGCCTAGGGATTGTGCGGACTGGATGAATTTCTGGTTTGCCATGGGGATCTTACACGTCCTCACCGATGCGTTCATCTTCATTTTGCCTCTACCACTGCTGAGGACATTGCCTCTACCAAGATTTCAGAAGGGAATTCTAATGGTGATCTTCTCTCTGGGCTTCTTGTAAGTTCCCTATTGTCTTAGCGATGTTAGATGGCGAACTTACGGAATCTTCCTCTCCTCAGCACATGTGCGATCTCCATTATCCGCCTTACCACGCTCCGAGCTTCGACCTTGAGCGCAGATCCGACATGGACAATGGCAAACACAGTGATATGGTCCGTGGCTGAAGCTGCTTGTGCGATCCTCTGCGTGTGCATCCCGACGTTACGGCCACTTCTGCGGCGATTCAATGGCTGGCGGATGTATTCCTACAACCCGAACGAGTTGATAGTATCACGGAGATTAAGAGAAAGGAATATGAGGACGCCCGGGTTAGACGATATGGACAGTATTGGAACTCAAAATAATTTGTCTTCGCGGACAAGAATTGACGTCGAAGATGGATTCAACAAGGCCGTGAGCGGTGATGAACTCGGAAGGCCAAGGCCTTGCCATTTGTCTAAACCAGGGCCAGCCGACGGACTAGATTGCGTGTAATGGCGCTTCTACCTTAGTAAATGTCTATGGACCGACTTCACGGGTTGGCCGGCTCATGCCCAACCCTTTACTCGGCAGGAGTTACTCCATCTTTTGCGACCAGCGAACAGAGAAGAGGGAGCTGGGGCAAGCTGAGACTGATAGTGTGGACGATGAGGGACTCGCTAATGCTTGTGAGGCCACGCAACGGCTTATCCATAGAGCTTTTCTAGGCCTGCCGGTCTGATACCATAGGCCGGTCGGCCTCGGGGTGTGTCAACCGACGTGAGGCCGGCGCGAGGAACAAGGAAATGCCTACCTACCTCCACGCGACACACACGTTTCAGGCCTGGATCGGTTGCGACCCCCTGTTTGCACTGCTTTTAGCACTAGCTTCGACCCAGTCCTTAAAGTACAGTGCCCGTGCACCCGAACATCATAATATTGGGCCGCCTGGGGCACCTCCTTTACCTCTGGGAACACCCCGAGTTCGTTTGAAGCCACAGGGGTGATGCCACCAAATGCCGACGCAGTCTTGAAACGCTTCAAAATCACCACTTCGGATCAAAATGAAGCTCCAAGATCAGAACCAAAGGGTTATAACAGCAGTCGGAGATAGCTCCGCAGAGTATTTGCTGCTGCTGTAAAAGATAAGGCAGATGAATCAGCCAAGAAGCTGAGCGCGTCTATTCACTCCCTCCAGATGCATAACAACCTGTTACACTTCGAAAACGATGGCCTACGCCAAGCCCATTCACTCAAAAAGAAGCATAAGAAGAAGAGCAAACCTCTAGACCTTCAACAGCGCAAAGAGTATCATGGTGGTGCAGTGTTCTGGAGTCCTGCGAAGGTTAGGGAAGCCCTGGTGCGCGAACGGGTAAAACAACAAGAAGATAAAGCCGAAAAACTCCAAAAAGCAGAGATGAGACAACTGAAAGGGGCTCACAGCTTGTACAAGAAAAACAATGGCAGAGGCAGCAAAGGCGGTGCGGGAAACTGCGATAGAAGCCCGGGCGGAAGAGCGAAAAAGAGCGGCTGAGGAAGCTGCTGCCCAAAAAGCTCAAAAGGAGCAAGAAAACGAGATCGCGACTCTCAAAAAGGTCTACAACAATCCCAATGAGGCAAGAGGGCAGCTTCAAAGCCTCCTAAAGGTCGACAGGCAAAGCGCAGGAGTAATAATCGCGTTAGGGGGGTGCTGTTGAGGCTCAACCTGCACCGCCAGCACCACCCAAAACGACACGAACACAATCGATACGGACACCAAAAAAACTATTCTGAATAGTATAAAAGTTTCGCGTGCATCTACATAGTAACACACCAAGAAACCTCGCGATAGTCACGATTGTGGGCGACTCTACAGCCTCATTGCTGCCATGGTAAACATGTTGGTGGGGTGGCTCATCGGCCGTCCGGGCACGGTACCGGCCAGTCTCTGCGTTTCCTAAGGCGCCGCTAAGCACACGCCGAGTGCCGCGCCGCAAACCTGATTCCCGTCAAACGACACATGCGCAGGAACGATACAGTGGCTGCAGCGCATCGAAGCCCTGATATCGTTCACAGCATTGGTTCCTAACCTTACCATACGAACTACCTTCATCCGCGCTATACGCCACCAGCGACCACTAGTCGTGACGCCACCAGCCGCGCCAGTACGCAAGAATAGTGTCAATAGTCACGGCAAAGCATCCACAGCAAAAATGCCTGCCGCGTTCCGATTCGAAGCTTGTAGCGTCGACAGCGACACACTCCTCACCAACACCTGAGTGCTTCGTAGGATAATGAATGCGAGACCTGGAATAGGACCTCCAGTGTGTCCATCCATGAACACCGTGTGCAAAAGAAGCGATCAAGTCGCCGCCTTGTAATCGCACTAGCCTGCGCAGCGTAGTGGTTGAAGCATAGTCATCTCGGACTAGACGGCACACAAAGGCGGCGTGTCGTAACTGGAGTAGACTTCAGACAGTCGGGACAGGAGTTGGAATTCAACAGAGGGACCCAGTTTGTGGCAGCACATAGCTGTAGGACTGCTATCTTTACACAGCAATGCTGACCAGCCCGGGTTGTCTCGTCGTACTCGCAAGTTGCCATAAGCAAAGCACTCGGGTCGTCTAGCCATGGAGAGGGCCTTCGTGGCTTAGGCAAGACCGCCCTGTGTTGCTATGGCTGTCACTGGCAGATGGGAGGCATTGGCTCAACGACACACCCGCAAAACATAGTGTAACGTTGAGCGGTAATCTAGTTAGTCACAGGTATCTACGATTGGCTGTGTGGGGGAAAAAGCATTCCTCAAGCTAGGATGTGAAAGCCCACAGCGACCGCCAACGCTATGCTTAGCATGCTGTTGCAGACGCAGCTTTGGCGATAGACGCGTGACGACGAGTCGATCCGATACATACTGGCTTATCCGCGGCTGTGCTAGCCGGGTCCACAGCCAGCATGGTTCGTGTGGTGGGGCTTGCCTCCATATCTCACGCCTGCCCTACGCGGGGCATAGTGCAGCTCTAAATTGGCCACATCAGCGTCATAGCAGTCTTCAGCAAGCAAAACGAGAACCTGATTTTTGTCATCAGACGCGCTACGGAACAGCTGGGTAATGGCTCGTAGGCCGGTTCCAAAGCCATCTACGACCGCTACGCTGCACGCCCCAGGTCGCTGGACGGACTGAGAACCAAGTACAAAGTCATGGTCAGAGACGAAGCGAGCAAGAAATTCATGGAGAGGAGGACCAGAAGCCCCAAATGGGCTGTGAGGAAGAGAGAGGTTATAGAACTACTGCGTGCAGCGGTGCATACAGTCCGTCGAGTCCATCTGTATGAAGGCACCACTGACCAGCAGCACAGAAGATGTCACTCCCGCACGAGCGTTCTTCGGAGGAGGTGGCAGAGAGCCATGACGCCCCTGCACTCACTTCTGTACGGCCCTGTTTGCCGCCTCTCCTATGGCTTCCGAGCAACCTGCATGCTGAGTGGGAGCCAGATGCCTGCATGGACACGGGGTCGTACAACATAGGAATTGTAGCAACTGAGCTACGTAGCTGCAACGCCATGTTCGACTTGGCTGCCGCTGGCTGGATGTTATCAGCATTACCGCTTGCACCGGAGACGTCACCCGGCGCCGGCACGGCCTCGTTCACGAACGTTGTTGCAGATGAGGCAGATCATCTAGCAGCCAGTATGTATGGCGAGATGGCTGCAACATACGAATATGCAGCCACAACACAGCAAGAACATACAACGATAACATCAATAAGTATTTTCGATGGCATTTGCATCGAGCCACTGGACGGCACCGCGACGAAGACAGACAAGCACGCAATTATGGGCACATCCGGAAACGTGATTGGGAACACCGCTCAGCCTACAGCTCCGAACACGCTCAACACTGCGAACGTCACCGAACTTGGTCTCGAAGCCTTGTACCAGTCCGTTGACGTGGAAATGCAAAGGCTCGTCGCCGCTCCCGACTTCACGCGGAAGAGCATTACCATCGAACCGGCCGTCGAAACAGGAACCGGCATGCTCCACAGCCCGACGCTTGGCACGCACCATACTACAACGTCAGAATCGCTCTCCCATTATACAATGGGCGAGCCTATCGATGATGAAGCCTCGCGGACCTGTAAAGGTCTATATGTTGAGTCGATGGCTGTCATTAACAACCTCGCATGGGGCAACACGCAAGCTGATCTCTTCGTGCATGATCCGATGTCTATTCTTGAGCAAGATGCAGCTGATCTAGAGGCTACGTAGTGTCCGTGTCTGCTGGGAATGCTGAGGGGATTCACATATGATCTTAGTCCAGCCAATCCTATTAGCAGGATGTCTCCGTTGACCGTGAGAGCATACCCACCAGGTAAGGCTCAGCTGCTTTTGTGTCTCTCGCTTCCTCTCTTTCCCGTATCTGTTCTACCAGGTAGCGCACCCCTTCTTCGATCCACGTCCCACGTTGGCGGTCATAGAGGGTGCCGATCTTCTTCAGCTCGGCGAGCTTACTCTAGATGGCGTCGATGGTTCTGTGTTTGCCGGCAAGTCGTAGTGCGCTTTGCGCATCTTCGTTGCGATAGTTGTGCTGATGGTAGAAGACGACGATGTCGTACTCGAGCGCGGTCCACCTTGCGCCTGGCATGCAGATCTTCACGGCTGCATGACACACCTGCTGCGAGAGGGCGGCACAGCAGTCCCACACCAGTACTACCTTGTATCTTCTACGTCGTAGACATGTACAGTATGGCGAGTGGCTAGACAGAATCCTACATCAGGGGTCGCGATCGTGTATGCCTGTGCACGGCCTAGTGACCGTCGTCTCGCTTTCCCCGCTTGGCGCGTTTCGACCCTGTCCCTTTCCGACTTCTGCTCTCTCATCAGTTCCGAATCACCCATTGTACATGTACCGTGTCCGTGCACCCAACGATCGGAGTCAACCAACGATCGGTGCACAACATCTACACCAAATTTCAACGCGTAATAGCTCAACAACTATGCTAGGGATTAATGATGCGCTTGCAGAGATTCGTAAATTGAAACCAGGCGATAAACTTGTGTATACAAAAATTGCGCTTAAGCACGGTGTTGATCGTAATACTCTATCGCGTGCGCACCGTGGTGTGCAGGTCCCTCGACGCGTCGCGAACGACTACCAACACAAGCTCACTCGACAACAAGAGGAGGACCTAGTGCAGTATATAGAACTACTCTCTGCGCGTCGCTTACTATCTACAAGAGTTATAGTACAAAATTTCGCCTCTAAAGTAGCCCAAAATCCTTGCTCTGAGAGCTGGGTTACGCGCTTCCTACACTGTTACCGCGACCGCGTTATACTACAATAGACGACGGGTATGGACTCTAATCGTCACAACGCCGAGTCTAGGTATAAGTATAAGCTGTACTTTGACCTGCTGCAGCAGAAGATTACTAAGTACGACATTAAGCTAGCGCACACATATAATATAGATAAGAAAGGCTTTGCAATTAGGCTGCTAGGAAGGACAAAGCGCATCTTTAGTAGGCGTTAATATAAGAAGAAAGAAGTTAGGCAGGCTCGTTAAGATAGCTCACGTAAGTAGGTGAGCCTATTAGCAGCAGTCTGCGCGGATAGTACAGCTCTACCCCTAGGCATTATTTTTGCGTCAAAGAACTCCACAGTCTAGAGTTATTAGGTAGCCGATATTGAGGCAGGAACCTACTTAATTCACGTAGCTTCTTCGCCTACAGGCTAGACGAACAATAATATTAGATTAGCCTAGCTTAAGCAGGTGTTTATCCGTTATACAAAGCTAAAGGCGTGCTAAAGTTATAGGCTTTTAATAGTAAATGGCCACGGGAGTTACCTAACGCAGGATTTTATTAACTACTACAATTAGAATCGGATTATACTTGCTGTGTTACTACCTCACAGTACACAGACGCTACAGCCGCTAGACGTAGTCTGCTTCAAGCTACTCTCCTCCGCGTACGCCTCCGAGCTAGATAACTACCTCTAGAAGTCTTAAGGCCTATCGCCATTAACGAAAGGTGACTTTGTAAGCTTATTTTAGCCTGCCTAGGTGAGTACATTCACCAAACAGCTCGTACAAAACGCCTTCGCTGCTACAGGGATAGCCCCAGTTAACCCCAACGTTATACTTAATAGATTCCGCTACGCAACACCTAGCGACTTAGGCTCAATTACCTCTAGTTCTACAGCTTATTCTGCAGAGGATTGGCTCAGAGCTTGCACTACACTGCGTGCAGAGGTGAAGGATCCTTGCAGTGCAGGTGCGCGGAAGCTTGGCCAAACTATCCACCACCTATCAACCCAGGTAGAGCTCCTTCACAACAACCTAGAAGGCTTACGGCAGAAGCTATACCTAAAACAGAAGCGTCAGAAGCAACCTAGCAGGTAGCTGGACTTGCAACAGCACCAGGAGTATCACGGCGGAGCGATGGTGTGGTCTCCTCGAGCTATCCGGGAGGCACGGGTCCGCATGGCAGTTACTGAGCAAGAGAAGGAGGAAGACGAGCTAAGAAAGGCAGAGATGAAGGAGTTAGCAGCTGCTAATAAGCTATACAAGGAGAAGATTAAGGAAGAGAAGCGGCAAAAGCAGGCAAGGGAGAAGGAAGAGCGTGCAAGGGTGAAGGCAGAGGAACGTCGAGCAATAGACGCCCGGAAAGCTGACAGAGCCGCTGCCAACCAGGCGCGCGACTCTATAAAAGCTATAAAACAATCCCAAAGAGGCAAGTCTACAACCTCAAAAGCTTCTGCAGTCAAACAGAAGCCTGCGCGTCGTGGTGTAGGTGCGCGTAGACATCCAAAGCCTGCAGCGCCTCCTCCACCCGCGTGCAATCACACAACCCGCAGCGGCCGCACCGCCACTCTATATAAACAAAATGTATAGAAGAATGTTGTCGCATGGGTCTATAGAACACTCTACTAAAATATCTCGCGATATTAACTTTTGTACGTGGCTCTACAGTCACATTTTTGTGGTGGCCGCGAAAGCGTTAGGGCGTGCATTGGTTGAATCTGTGCATTGGGTGCACGGACACGGTAATGACTGTGTTTTTGGTTGTTGCTGACAGCTGCGAACAGCCGAAAACAATGGCTCCAGATTCCTTGGCGATGACGGCTAAGCCAACATCGAGGCGTAGGGAAGAGCCAAGCTTCCGGCTAGACAATGCAGTGCTTACAGGGCTCAGCGATCACGGTTTCACCTCGGACGCAGTTGCAGCAAAACTTGCGCCACGAATGTGACAGGTATCACACGGCCCTCACCCATGTACGTAGCTCTCGACGATTGCCTTCCCAAGCTTGCTTGCAACATTGTGTTCTTCACGCAGATGCGCGTCTAAATTCTTTATTATAGTTGTACACTGCTTGCAGGTTACCGTAGTATAGTCCCGCAAAGAGCATATCGTATTTTTAAGCGCTTCAAGTGATACGGGCGGGTTATACGGGCGGCGAGCGGTTGTTGCAGCGGTTGTCGCGATCATCATAAGCAACATAAGCGACACACGCAATATGGGTAAAGTCTTTGTACTCGTTCAGACTTGACGGTGTCTTTCTACCACCGCTACACGCCCCGAAGAATTGCGCCAAATGGATCTCATACCGATCGCAAAACTCGTTCCTGGCATTCGGTCAGAGCACGTCAAAGCGATAGTCATGGTGAAATGGCCATACTCATCTTCAAGAGGTGAGATGGCTAGATAGGAGTTTGGTGTTACTCGCACAGATCTATAGCATTAACGTGGTTCACAAGCGAGCGCCCCACCCAAGCGAGCGCCCCGCGAAACACCAGCGCAGCGCACGCGCAGCGACAACACGCAATGTCACAACAACACCAAGCTCTAAGACTCTATACTGAAGGCGACGTACAGCTTGCTGTCTCTAATGTTCAAAGCAGCTAAGTAAAAAGCCTACGACGCGCTAAGGCAATCTACAACGTTCCCCGAAGGACGATACAGCGGCGCTGCGACGGAAAGCGCCCTTAACGCGATTGCGAGCTAAACTTAAAACGCCTTACTAAGCTAGAAGAGGAGGCAATTGTACAGCGTGTACTTAAAGAGAGTCTACGTGGAATACCGCCCTTAAAGGCGCACGTACAAGATATAGCAGATAGACTGCTAAGGGAGCGTAGTAGGAAGCCTACGGGCAAGAACTAGATTAATAACTTTATTAAGCGTACACCTAAGCTGCGCACGCGATGGAACCGTCCGTACGATTGCCAGCGAGCTGCCTGCGAGGACCCAGCGATTATCCGGCCTTAGTTTAGCCTAATTTAATCAATAAAGGCAAAGTATAGTATTGTAGATAAGGATACCTAGAACTTTAATAAGTCTAGCTTTATAATAGGCAAGATATCCTCTTAGCTTGTTCTTACAGGCTTAGAGAAACCTAGGAAACATGTCACGGGGTCGGCAGGCAGGGAAGGTAGGTGCACGTGATCAGTATATTCACTACGATATCGCTGATAGTACGGGGTCAGGCTAAGACAAGGACGTAGCTCAAGGAGCGTACGACAGGGCGCGTTCGCGCAGGAATTTCAGCGATCGCGCAGCTGCTCGCTTAGCAGCTTAGCGCGCTCTAATAGGCTATCTAGGTTAGCGCCGTAACAGTACTCCCCTCCTTAGGCGGAGCTCCGACGACGCGATCAACAGGGCTTGTCTAGGTAACGGCGGTGGAAGTTCTTAACAATCTCCTAGGCGTTCTCGACGTAGTCGGCTGGTACTTCAGTAGGCTCGTCGTATCCAACCCACTTCACTATATACTTTAGTCGGGGCCGGCCTCTACGGCCGCGGCGGTCCTAGCGGGAGTCTAGGATGTCCTCGACCTCCCACTCCTCGACTCCCTCGACTTCGACAGGAGGAGGCGGGTCTTGTCGCTGCCTAGGCAGGGGGTCAGTCGCAGCTAGGCGGAGCAGGCTCACGTAGAACACAGGGTGGATCTTCATTGAAGCAGGCAGCTCTAGGCGGTAAGCATACGGGCTGACGACCTTAGTGACCCTGTAGGGTCCTAGGAATTTCCAGTCTAGTTTTTTCTGCAGGCAGGCAGTCTTAATATTCCAGGCGTTAAGCTACACTAGGTCGTTTTCAAAGAACTGGCGGGCAGGTTTGCGTTTCCTGTTGGCGTACTTCTCGTGCTAGGCTTGTGCGACACAGATCTCAGAGCGCAAGTACTCGTGGACGGTTTTCATCTTTAGGGCTAGATTTTCGGCGTCTTGCGCCGCTGGCTGTCAGCTTAGATCAACAGGCTCGAATCCTAGGCAGGGGTA